GCCGGGAGGAGGAGGAGGAGGAGGCGGCGGCGACGGCGGCTGCAGCGGTCGGAGGGGACGCGCTGGAAGTGGGAGCTGATGAGTGAAAAGAAAAAAAAGTCTTTGGATCTTTATTCTGCTAATTAGTTTCCTGCAAAAAATGGCTGTGATTAATTCAGTGCGCATGTGCTTCATTACCCAGGCACGACGGGAAGGGCTAATTAGCCACCTTCTGGATCAATAAGATTCAGCAAAAAAGAAAAGGGGGAGGTGGAGGGAGGCAGAGGGGAGGAAGGGAGGAAAAAAAAAAAACCAGGGGAAAGTGATGAGCAGGGCAAGGAGAGCAGGAAGAGAGGATGGGAGAAGAGCCTAGGAAGAGGGAGAGAGGCACCAAAAGTTTATGCATGTATTAAAAACACACACACATACACACCACACACACGCACACACGCACGCACACACGCACCGAGAAGTGAAATGCAGAGAGGCAACAATAGAGACCTGGCTAAGAATTTTTTAAGGTTTTTTTTCTTTCCTTTCTTCTTTTTTCCCCTTTCTTTCTTTCTTGTAATTTCTTTTTCCCTTTCTTTTTCTTCCGTTTTTTAAGCAAATGCAACTATGCTTAAATAGGAAGAAAAGCATCTTCACAGCGGCGGGGGTGTGGGGTGCTGTAATGGAGTGGGACAGCTTAAAGCCAAGGTTTAAGTGAAAGACCAGAGGCATAGAATAGAGGCCACTTTAAATTGCAAATCTGAGAATTTTTAACGGAGGAAAATCACCTCCCCCCAAATCACAGGACGACTGAAGAAAATATGGAGAAAACTTTAACACATACCATAGACTAACAAAAAAACCTTGTATGTATACGTATATATATATATAAAACGTGTTAATTTTGTCTTTGAAATAAGATGCAGTCAATCTTCTTTGCTTCTTTAGAATGAGAGGGGAAGTGAAGAGTGATGATTAGAAGAAATAAAAGGGAGAAAGTGAATCAGAACTGCAAGGTGGCAACTTTAGGAGAGACAAGAAAAGGGAAAGTTGCATTTGGAAACAAGTCCAACTTTCTACCTTTCTGGACTTAAGAGAAAAAGTAAAATCAGTTTTCTAGTGCAAAACCTGGGAAGCAGATGTTTTCAAAACACAAGAAGCTGTTTTGCCATCAAAAGGAGGGATGTAATAAAGGCAGTGAAAAATAATTTCAGACTAAATTCGTAAGAAAGAAATCCAATATATTTAAATAGCGAGGAAAGGTCTAGAGAGTAGAAAGGGGAGGGAGATTACATACCCCTTCCCTAACGCCAAAAAAAAAAAAAGTCTCAACAGCTACCTCCAAGAGTTTGGAGCAGTCTCAAAGCCAAAGGGCTTGAAATGAGAGGATGGATTTCAGATAAAGACTAGGAGCGGTACATCCCACCAGAGCCCAGAGGAGATCCCTGGAATCAAAGACAGCAGCCAGAGACCCTGCTACTGTACCGATACCCAGTACATCAAAGCCATCACTTAGGCTGGTGCAAGGTACCTCCAAAAACCAAGCAAACAAACGCAGAAAGAACAAGAGCTTCTCTCTCTCTCTCTCTCTCTCTCTCTCTCTCTCTCTCTCTCTCTATCTCTCTCTTTCCCTCTCTCTCTCCCTAGCCTCAGCGTCACTGCTACTGAATAGATTTTTTTAGTGACAAGTATGTATTTCTATAAGTTGTAAGCATGAACTACTATCATTGAAATTACAATGTCTGAAATAAAATGCAATCTGTACTTTAACTGATCTGCAAACATTTAAAACATGCTTTTGAAAGCATTATTAGTAAACCCTGTAACACGAGGACGAAGAGAGTGTGCTAAAACTTATTTTTCCTAAAAATTTTTTTTGCCCCAGCCAACCAAGATTATTTATCTGAGAAGGAATTTGGGGATTAATCAGGAACTCTGTTTGATTAGAAAGCAGTTCTTCATTTTGAGAGATTTTCCAATGCTCTTTAAGAGCATGCAGCTTCTTAGTCAAGACCAGGGGGAGAAAACTGGTTTAGGATTTTGCAGTTACCTCATCTAATCCTTCTGAATTCACACTGAAAATAATGCTGTTTTATTTAGGGGGAGAAAAGAAAATACATTTAGAAAAATCGGGGGTTTCCTCTCTCTGAGCCAAATCTGGGTTGCCATTCAAACTTTTCCTGGCTGCTTTTCCATGCGGGACAGCTGATCAATAAAGCCAAGTCCAGCCTGGCTTGCTACAGGTTTCACCAGTCATTGCTTGCAAAACCTTTGTCATTTTCTAAAAATAAAAAAGCTAAAAGTTATTGTAGAAGAAGGGGCTTTTTTTTGTCCCCTGCACAATGTGTCTTTTGTGAGGTTAATGCCATTCTGGGCTCTCGATAGCCCTGGACAATGGGAACCCTCCAGGAGCTTGCAAAGACTCTGGCTTTTTTTCTTTCTTGCCTTTTTTTTGGGGGGTGGGGTGGGGGATGAAACATTCCTATAGTCCAAATACAACCTCTACTTTGATTAAATAAATATTTATCTTTGTTGTAGCCATTGTATATTTTTACCTTCAGTTTGTCCGGTTTCTGATTATTATTCTAAATTTTTTACTGGCAACAGTTAATCTTTTTTTTTTTTTCCCTTTCAGTCCAAAGTGCAGGTCAGTGTAAAATGTAGCTGACTGAAAGAAGACTGGTAAATTCTGAATTTTTCCATAATACAGCAGGTAAGGAAAATTGTTCAGACCCTGAGGAGTATATTTGCTTCCTATTTTATCTGTCTTCATGAATCTTCATAAATCTGTTAGTTTATTTTTTAAAGATATAGCAGAATTTCTCCTTGTAAATCTTTTTAAAAATCACTTAAATACTATGTATTTCTTTTCTTTTAAAATGGAAATAGTAGTAAAAGTGAACTTGTGGTTCTTTCTTATATAAAACCATGCGGTAGAAGTCAGTACCTCCACTGGTATGAGCTATTTGGAGGAAATTCTGGATATAAATGTATTTCATGTTGCAATATAGGAAAATGTCAGCTTAATCTGGTAAATACTTATGCTAATTTTACTGAGTGAATTCGTTATAAGGAGGAGAGGTACCAAGCTTATATGATTGAATAATGCTTAGAAGGTAATCCAGCATCTATATGGATTATTTTATCTTCAAAATGAAAAAAAAAAAAGAGCCAAGAAATTCAGAATCTAAATCCTTCATTTAGCTGGCAAGAGGGTAGAAAATTTTAGACCAACTTGTTTTTCAAGACATTTACAATAGGAAGGGAAAGTAGAATGTAGGCTAAAAATTGCATTGATGTGTACCTTTCTCTGCCTCTCACTCAAATGAATGGATATGTGTATGTATATAAACGCAAGATAAATGCATAAAAGGTACATAAATATACATTTGAATAACTTCAGATGTCTTTGCATCTGTGCATGTGCATGCATCTGTGTGCACACAAATGTACAAGGTGTCCATAAATGGAGGTACTGTACAGAGCTATTCAAGAGCTCTCCTCGCGCTGGGGGTTGTGTTTCCAGATCTGTCTGAAGCCACTTCTTTGCAAATATGCCATGGCAATGTTGGTTTAGTGATAAAGATGTGGATGGTGAGTTTGAGGAAGAATCTGCTCCCCTGCAATTTTCAGAATATGGGGTTGCAGTGTGAGCAGCTGTTCTTTGGTCCAAGGGCTACAGATGTGATGGGCCAGTCTTAAGGGAGAAGGAAGGTGAAGGATGTGTTAGGAGATTGCACTTCGAGTCTAGCTCTGGGCCCTAGTTTTCTTCTGCAGGGGGACTGGGGGCACAGAAAAAAAAAAGAAGAGGAAGAAGAAAAAAAGAGTGGAAGCAGGGGAGGTTGAAAGGATGCCTGTCTGTACAACTCTAGCGCTAGATATAAGAGAAGGGCTGGAGGGTGAAGAATGCGCCAGTCCCTTGTTGAATGTGTATTGTTATTCTAAGTCTATTGTATGTACGTGTTGCTGTCCTTTCATTTGCCACAACAACACATGGATTCCATAAATGCAGACATGCCGAAGTGCATCTGTCTGGGTAGTTAACACGATCCAAACATCCCTCCTTGTTCGCTAACTCCGGCTCTTTCTTGGGCACCTCAGCAGCGCTCCAGGCTCAACGGCGAGCCCTAAACTGGCAGCACCCCTCATTCTTGCCTTTCTGTGGTCCCTGCCCAGGATCCAAGGTACTGCCCAAGAGCTAGGAGGCAGGCTGCTCGCGGTGCTGTGGTCGGAGGCGCCGCTGCAGCTGGCCTCTGAGCGCGCAGGGAGGAAAGGGTTAAACTGTCTGAGCTGGGCGAAGGGGCTGCGCTCTCATCCCGGAGTAGCTAGGTGCAGCCACCAGCAGCTGTGATTTAGGGGTCACATCCGAGATCACCTTTCTCCTGCCTCTGGAAATGGCAGAAGATGAGGTAGGGAGGGAGAAAGGAGAGAGCAGTAGCCAGGCATAGCACGTGGTGTGCTCCAACCGTCCATCCCACCGCCCTTGTGGTCAGCCCACCCCTTGACCCCAAGACAAATGGGACAGTTCCCTTTTCTCATAGGGGTGCTGGGTGGGATTCTTCTGAACTTCCCGAATTATTCCAGCCCTGGCTCTGTCCTAGTGTTAAGCCACTGTGTCAGGAGCCTCAACCACCAGATCGAAAAGTTTGCTCTCTGCATGCCAGGGGGTAAGCAGCTGGCTGTGGGTAAACACTGCTCCCTAAATACCCCCCAAAGCAGGTTGCTTCTGGCAGGATGAAAGTGTTGGGGTATTGGCACCTGCTCTTCCTACTCCATTCACACTCCCCACAGTCCTGAGAGGATGTACACAGTGGTGCCCTTCTTTTTTTGTGTCTACATTCTCCATCAAGAACTTTCTTTTCCCCCCAACTCAGGCACATTGGAGAATACTTTTGCCAGATGACTTCTCACAACTTAAAGATAACCAGAAACCAAATTCAGGTTTGTTTCTGAGGGATTTTACTGGAGGAATTAAAAAAAAAAAAAAGCTAAATGTCCAAATTCCTCTTTAGTCTTGGTACCTGCTGGGAGATTTTTTTTATAACCAGAAACCAAATTCAGGTTTGTTTCTGAGGGATTTTACTGGAGGAATTAAAAAAAAAAAAAAAGCTAAATGTCCACAGTCCTCTTTAGTCTTGGTACAGGTGCTGGGAGAGTCAGGTCCAGGTGATGTCTTGGGGAATCTAAGAGTGCCCACCAGTGGTGCCCACAAAAGGGCTTTCAGTGAGAGAAGCTTCCCAAATCCATCCCCGTATAAACTGGGCATTTAGGACACCCTGCAGCTCTTTTGGAAAGTTACTCCAAGCAAAAGGACTTTGTGGTGGGAAAAGAAACTGGCCCAAATTGACAGAAAAAGGCAAACTGGGGTGGGGTGGGGCGCAGGAGGCAGGTGGGGGAGCAGAGAGAAGATAAAGAGGTTGAGTGACAAGGTCCAGGGACAGAGTCTGTAGGGCGCAAGCAGCCACGGATACTTCAGGACTGTTCAGCCAGTGCTCCCTCCAGCTACCAGGGTGAGGGTGAATCACCCCGATTTCAGCTTCTGCTTCAAGGGCCAATCGAAGACCAGCTGGTCCAGGAGGCAGCTGAGGTCTGTCTTTCCAGCCCCGCTGCTTCTAACATTGCCAGAGCCTCCAAACCACGGAAATCAAACCAAATTGGCTGCTCCAATCTAGAGAGGTTTCATCCCTGGGGCAAAGGGGAGGGGAACAAGCCTTTGTCCCCCCCCCTTTTTCTTTTGAACTCTCGATTCAAAAGAGACCACAACCTACTCTTGAGTGTCATCCCCAGTACACGGATTGTGGGTATGTTTCATTCTTTCTTTTTTCCTATTTCTCAGAAGTAAAACCTTTAAAGAATTAGCCCCAAACTTGGAGCGCCCGGGTCCTTGAAAGAGTTCCAAATGATAAAGCCTGTCCTTCATTTCCAACACGTAGCGCATCGTGAAAATTCAGGGCAATTAGTTAGTTCCAGGGTTTGACTCAGATTCCCAGCTTCCTCCAGTCCTTTGCAATGGAAATCTGAAATCCAACCTGGGGGCTGGAGGTGCAGAGCCAGTGGCTTCCCCCGGTTCTGCACTGCCCGCACCGCTTACCCACTTGGTGACCTGCTTACTAGTAGTTTGCACCACCTCTAATGCCTGGGGCGGGTGACAGAGAAAAAGATCATTGCAACACAACAAAGTGAACAACTGAAGAGCAAGAGACCCTCAGTCGGGCTGCATTCACTTCAGGGATTTCCAAAGGCATAACTTGGGGGAATGATCCAGGCTTCTTGCTTGCCAGCCAGAGGCAGAAAAAAAGAGAGCCCTGTGGAGAGTGCAGGGGGCGGTCTGAGGAGCAGGGCTGGGAGCAGGCAACTGAGACCTGACTCCCATTTGCACTTAGCTGGCCAGCGCTGGCCTGGGGAGACAGTGCCCACGGTGGCACGCGCATTGTTGACACGCAGACACGCAGGCTTGCGCTAATGGAGGGATGCAGCAGCTCAGCAATCCGCCCCATGCCTGCAAAAATGCAGGCTTGGCTTGTTTAATGGCCGGGGAATTGAGTGCCTCATCACAACCCCCCCTTTTCCCTGAAAAAATGTAAAAAGGAACATATATTTTGTATATATTCTGAAGAAACGTGAATCTTTTCTTGAGGAATACCTAGTGCCATAATATTTCTGATTTAAGGGGCGAAGAAAATCTTTGAAGTAGAGGAAATCAGTGGGAGACGAACTAGCTTTACTTGATTTTTTTTTTTTTTTTTGGTGTCTCTCCTCTAAGCCATTAATGGGATTTAAAATGAGAGAGTCCCAGTCCTTGTCCTCCCTCCCATTGGATTTCACTCTCCTCGCCCCAGAAAACCTCTGCCTGCACGTCTAAAGGGACGGCTTAATGGGAAACAAGGTTTGGGGAGGGCATCAACTTTCTCTTTTTCAAATGAAGTTGAAAAAAAAATTTCTAAGGACAATTTAAGCAACAAATGACATCGAACAGATATTTTTCCAACACAAAACGTTTCCAATTCGTTTGTTTCCCGTTCTTGGAAATAGAGAAAAAGGCAAGTCCAACCTTTCCTGCGCGCGGATGGCACGAAATTTGGGGCCCGCGCTTGGTTGAGGCTGAGGGATAGAGGGCAAGGTGTCGCCCCGCGGTCCCCAAGGAGTCGGGAACGCCAAGGCTGGGGCTAGCCTTGCTCCCCGCGGACAACCCTCCGGCCCAGCCTGCGTCAAGGCTCTGGCCCCCGGTGGGCTTTGGGCGCGCCCTGGCAGCTGCCTCCTCTTAAATTCCAGAGCTCAGCAGGGCAGCGGGGACGTTCGACGCCAGTTTCCTGTGGCCCGGGAGTGGGAAGCACCCTTCTCGAGTCTGCTCTCAGGCTCCCCTGGGCTGTGCGTTCTAAAGACCAGGCACCAGCCCGCTTCTCCCCTCCCGTGCTCCAAGAACCAAAACCTCGAGAATCCCGACAGTTTCCCAAGATGCTGAGCCAGGGCGCGCGTCCCTGAGGTCTGACACACCTAGCCCCGTTTCACGAACCCTTTCTTCCTGACGGTTTGGGCTCTGGAGAGGAAGCCAGGGCGCACCCGCCCCGGGGGACGCCGCTGGCGCGCAGAGGCGGGCGCAGAGCCTC